AAAGCTTTCATCACTTTCACTTGGAATATCTGATAAATTGTCAGCAAATATGTCCAGAATTTTATCATGTTCTTCGTCACTATCCATGGTTACTGAGCACTTTAAAAATATCAAATTGATATAAAAAACAGTTATTTTTTATTACTAACGACAAGAGACTAATCACTTTTAATTCCTTTTGTAATTTTTAACTTCAGCGGACGCATGTTCCGTTACACTGTTTCTCTCTAAATGACAATGAACAGCCAAGAATTCTCGTGATTGGCCACAAGCCTTAGAACAAAAACACGAGAATTCTCATGATCCGTTCACAAAATCACCGATGTGAAGAATTTAAAGGACTCTGCTGTTTCAACCTGACTGATAATTCACAGCTCAAAGAGCATAAAGTAAAGCAAGTAAATGAAGTAGTGTCCAAGATAAAACAAAGAGAGGGATTCTTTGTTTTTGATTTGTTTGGATTTGATTAGTTTCAAACTAACCTGCGGACTACCTAGTGTTACTGGTCTTAGGGAGGCATTTGTTTTCATTCTTTTCATCTTTTTCAGTATCATAGCTTGTTGTTGTTGCATACAGTGTGCTCCCTCAAGTGTATTCCCAAATCCCCTACAAGACTCTAATGCAGTGGTTCTCAACCTTGGCTGCACATTAGAATCACCTGGGAATCTTTTTAAAATCCTGATTTCTGGGCCTCATCCTCCGGAAATTCTGTTTCTTTGTTATGGGGTGGGGCCACAACATTAGTAACAAAGAAACAGAATTTCCGGAGGATGAGGTCCAGAAATCAGGATTTTAAAAAGATTCCCAGGTGATTCTAATGTGCAGCCAAGGTTGAGAACCACTGCTCTAATGCTAAGATGCGTGCTCAACAGCAAAATGATTACTTCCATATGGAACTAATCTTTTTTTTTTCCAAGTGAAACTAATCTCATCGAAATAAGATAGACTAACAGTGGGGAATGACAGGGAAATCAAGAAGTTAAAAATGTTTCGTTTTAGTTATATAGTTAATAGTCTTGGTAACAGAAGACTATTGTTTCAGGGACTGAAATGTATGACTGGACCTACCCCGCCTTCAGGAGACCCACAAGCAATTCGACCTTTGTGTCCCAGGAGGACTGCCAGAGACCAAGACAGTATCTGAACTATTGTGCTCCAGGGAGAGAATGTCAGCCTCCCAGGAAGCAGATAAAGAGCCACCCGTGGGTAGATGAAGGGATGCTGGGAAAATGACCGGGCTGCAGCTTTATCTGATTAAACCTTTTCCCTGAGCCCCAGACCCTTTACCTACTTTCTCCTGAACTTCAAACCCTTTACCTACACTTTTCTCCTCCTTATAAAAAAGGTCAGCTTGAGAGGAGATGTAAGACGGTCTTTTAGGGTATGTAACACACCGTCTTCCAGATGGCCAGCCATGTGAATTAAAGCACCCATAAAAATTCAATCCTTGTCTCTACTTACTGGTTCTGGTAGTGACAGGCAGCACGAACGCCAACTTTTCCAGTTTCACAAGGAGGTAAAAAGGGATAGATAATAGAAAAAAATCTAAACAACTTAAATGTCTACTAGTAGGAAATGGATGAGTAAATAATTCGGTGTAATAAGCCTTTAACTTGCAGCCAAGTGATACTTGTTGAGCGCCTACAAGAGGCCAATCTCTGACAGTGCAGGGAAGAAAACACCAACCCTGTTCCTATGTTGATGACACTAATGGGAGATACTTTAATGCATTCAACCGCCCAATTATCCAAAAAAGATCATCTCGCCACGTAATGTAAATTTGTAAAAAAAAAAAATCTGTCACGGACAAAGGGAAGAGGACGCGCCACTTTTGGCCAGCGGGAAGTCAAAGCTCGCCCCGCTCCGGCCGGGACCGAGGCCACTTGG